CACCAACTCGCCGCGCCCAAGTCGCTGCAGCCGCCATGAGGGGATAGTACCGCCGAGCGCCACTTCCGGCGTGGCAGCGCAGTATTCACCGCTTCCGGCGCCGCGCGCACGTGACCGGGAGACCCGCCCCTTCTTCCTCTCTCCCGGGCCAACGGGAGTCGCCGAGCTACGGGTTGGAGCAGTGTTGCCGGGGTCCCCAGGTTAGGCTGGGAATCCTGGCTGGAGCGGAGCATAAACCGGACGGGCGAGCAAGCGAACGGGTGGGCAAGTGACTATCGGCGAGTTCTCGGCGGCGTGCTGCACCGTGGAGGGCGCTGCCTGCGCGCTCCCAGGCCGCGACGGTTCTTGGGCTTTTGGAGAGATAATCGGCGCACCGGGCCAAAGAGCTGGGACGGACGGGAGTGTTGCCGAGGTGCCAGGACTAGGGGTCGGGGTCTGAGGCTTGGGCGCTGCCTGGGCCAAAAGGACCCTGACGCGAGTGAAGCGGCCCAGGGAGCATGAGCGGCCCGCGTGTGGACGTCAAGGTGGTAATGCTGGGTAAGGAGAACGTGGGCAAGACGAGCCTGGTGGAACGATACGTGCACGACCGCTTCCTGGCGGGGCCCTATCAGAATGTGAGTTGCACCCCTCTGAGACAAGTGGGAGAGGGCCAGTGTGCACCTGTGGTTTTAATTTCTAACTTGTCGTTGCAGACCATCGGGGCCGCCTTCGTGGCTAAAGTGATGTCCGTTGGAGACAGGACAGTGACTTTGGGTATTTGGGTAAGTCACCTGAGTATCTGGTCTGGGGAGACCCACTCCTGTTAGGCTTGGGCCTCATAGAGGTCATTTCTTATCTGGAAAATGGGGGTCTGGAGAACAGTCTTAATTTGCAGTCTTGAGAAGTAGCCCAGTTAATTTAGGCCAAGGCTAACCCTCTTCCTGCGTTTCAGGATACTGCAGGCTCTGAGCGCTATGAGGCCATGAGCAGAATATACTATAGAGGTGCCAAGGCTGCCATCGTCTGCTATGGTAAGGTGGAGTTGTGGCCTGTTCTTCGGGCAAGAGGTGGGTGCCATTCCACCTCAGAGAACAGACCCTGATCCTTGGTTCTCTCTTCCATATCGCATACCAAGACCTCACAGACAGTAGCAGCTTTGAGAGAGCAAAGTTCTGGGTAAAGGAGCTGCGCAGCCTAGAGGAGGTTAGGTGGTTCGACTTGTCTCACGTGGTGGGGGTGGTCTGTGGTTTTGTAAAGGTGATCCTAGCCTTGTGCTTTGCCCCAGGGCTGCCAGATCTACCTGTGTGGCACCAAGTGTGACCTGCTGGAGGAAGACCGGCGGCGTCGACGTGTGGACTTCCATGATGTGCAGGACTATGCAGAGAGTAGCTACACCTCAACTCAGGGCAAGGGGTGGGGGCTGGGGGATTGCCTTGGTGGGTTACAGGAAATAGGGCTCCCAAGGCCAGATGTGCTGGGAGGGTCTTCTGATATTTTTTAACCTGCGGATTCCAGGACATTCCTTGAATTGCTAACCTTCCCCTTTGTTGACCTGATTCCCAAGTATGAAGCCAGTCATTTTTTCTTTGCAGATATCAAAGCACGGCTCTTTGAAACATCCAGCAAGACAGGCCAGAGTGTGGGTGAGTGTTGATCTGAGGCCTCACAGTAGGAAGAGACAGAGGCAGCAAAGGAAGCAGGAGAGCCCAGAGGGCTGGGTCACTGGGAGATCCCAGGGCTGCTGGCATCAGGCCCTCACTGATCATCCTTTTCCTGCCAGATGAGCTCTTCCAGAAAGTGGCAGATGATTATGTCAGTGTGGCCGCCTTCCAGGTGATGACAGGTGTGTTTCCCCAGCCTTTACAAACTTCTTGTGAGCTCATGGCCTCCATACTCCCTTGAGTTACCTGATTCCAAACAGTGGTGCTGAGCTGCCACTTCTCTTTGACAGAGGACAAGGGCGTGGACCTGGGCCAGAAGGCAAACCCCTACTTCTACAGCTGTTGTCATCACTGAATCACCACTCACCTGACCCCGGGGAATTAAAGGAATTCCCAGAAGGGCTAGATTGAGCTCTTGTCTGGGAATGGGTGGTCAAATGTCTGAGCTACCCCATGTCCCCAGAGGTGCCACTGCCTGTGCTGGCCCATGGAGTGGAGGCAGCATTGGGTTGTCTCTGGGCATTAGGAGGGCTAAGGGCTGATTTCAGTCCCAGGCTTCTGTCCTGGGCAGTACTTTGTCTACAGGTTATTTAAGTGGCTTCTGGTCTGTAAATAAAATCAATGCACTATGAATTATACTCAGCCCCTTTCCCTGCTGTGTGGACTGGGTGCCAAGACACCAAGTTCTGGAGCTTTGTGGGTGGCCTCTTCCTGTTTAAGAATCTTGTTTTCCTTTGGAAACCAAGTAACTTTTCCCCAAATTTATCACTGAGATATTGGAGAGACAATGTGCTTTATTTTGTGCTGGGGTGGATGGAACCCAGGGCCTTGTGCAAGTACTGGATCACCGAGCTATACCTCCCAGCCTTTTTCTTTTGTGGGGGCAGAGAAAGTAAGAGGGTGGGGATAGGACAGTGCAAAGCTTACAATTCCTTCTGGGTGCAGAGAAAAGGCAAGGGAGTACTTAAATTGTACCCCAAAATAAAAAGGACCAGACATTCCTGCTTTTAGACAGGTTGGTCTGGCCCATGACCCAGATCTGAGCCTCCCAGTGATATCAGCAATGTGGTTTAATGGTAGAGAAAATAGTTTTGCAAAATGGGAAAGTCTTATAGAGATCCATATTCAGATCCAGTTCAGCTACTAATACAGGAAAGGGACTTAAACGCTTGAGTTACCTATCTTTAAAAGATGAGGTTATTTATACCTCACTCAGATCCTAAGTGAGCCAAGCACAGTGACACATGTATGTGTGCTTCTTAGGAGGCTGAGAGGGGAGGCTCACTGGGGGATGTAATTCAGTAACAGAGTACTTCCTTAGCATGTTCCATCTCCAGCACTAAAAAAACAAAACCTCCATCCAAGTGAAGAGTAATTCCAGTATTAAATGCCTTAACCATACTCTTCCCCTGAAGGCTTTCTGTTGAAAAAGCAGTTTGGGGCACAAGGGGGATGCACTCCTAAGGCTCCCCCGAAGTAATTAGGCCTGAAAAATTCAGGTAGTTCTGATGGTTCACGTTACTGTAAACAGGGCTAGAGCTTCCTGTTCAACCAGAAGGAGGTGTCTTACAGCTCTTTATGGTATATGGGCCTCATCTTCCAGCTTGTCCTTTGCCCCCGCTTTCCTGCCTCTAAAGTAAACATTGTCAGGACTACACTCAAAGTGCTTTAGTTGCTCTTCTCTTTTTCAAACCAATTCCTCACAATACTCTTCCTTCCTGAGTGACAGAAACTTCCTGTGGAAGAGACCGAAACTGACACCAGCCACTCGCAAGAGAAGGGTAGGGTGCTTAGGCAGCTGTGGCACCTGGGAGGAAACCAGTGTCTCTTCCACAGAGGGTTTGGAGGAGGGTCTCAGCTCTGCCATGACTCCTTCAGGGAACTATCCCTGGGGTTTTGTGACTCTCCAAACCAATCTGTCTTGTTAGGTTATACCTTCCCACGGACAATATAAAAAAAACACAGGGCAAGGGCCATAAGAGTAAAGTTAAACTTTACTTTACAGTATTTTTTTATATATATACAAAGAATTACAGTACATGTTTATGGGGACTCCTAGCACAGGGTTCCCCTCTTTTTCACTAGGAGTTTCACTTCCAGCTGACAGTCTGTGGGGACAAGGGGACAACAGTGATGGGCCTTGGCTGGATCCCCTGCCCCTCCCCTTTAAAAATATAAAAACAGATCTCTTGTGTCAGCTGCTTCTTTGCCAAGACCTAGAAAGCTGCTCTTCCATGAGGTCCTGTGTGTGGCACTCACCACCTTCCACACTCACCTAACACACACACACACAGGCTGCACCACCTCAAGCTGTGAGACTGCCTGCCCCACCCACCCCGGAAGCCTAATGTACCTGGGACTGTTAAATTTCTGCTTCTGTCCAGAGCTGTGCTGAGCTCCCAGATGGTATCCCAGGGCCCCCATAGCCTGATATTCTTAAGAGTCATGAGAAGACAACTCTAGGGAAAGGACCACAGAAGAATTAAATATGTGCGGTTCTGCTTATACCGGCAATAAACACATTTCTTCTGAGTCTATAGATTTCTAAGTAAAATAAACTTTCCAATTAATTCCTTATAACAAGTATTACCCTTAATTTTTATAAGCAGTAGAGATGCTTCCATGAGGGTAGAGGTAGAGGGGCAGAAGGTAATGGAGGAGACCCCGCTCTACCAGCCTGTTCCTGGTGGTGTGGACAGAGGCTATGGACAGAGTGACCCCAGCCCTGAGAAACTCAGTGACCACCTTTAACAGGATCTCTTCTGTGTTGGATATCATGGGACCACTCCAGGGTTGGGTACAGGCTTCACTGAGTTTCTGCCTTTTCCCAACTCCTAGGGCCTCAAAGAAACCTTTCTTACATAAAATCTCTTACCCCCAAATAGGAACCCAAGTTTCTCAAGTCACCAGTCCCTCAACCCTTGGCAGTGCTTATTTATATATTGAAATTAGCACCATCATTACATTTGTGTGTGTGTGTGTGTGTGTGTGTACACAAAGCAGTTGCCTATTCATGTGTCAATTTTTACTACTTCAACTTCTGGCCCTGCTGTATTGGCCTAGGACACTCAGCTGAGAGCTAAATGGCCACACATAAGGGAAGCTCCCATAGTAGCTACCTAGCTCTAAATGATGTGGAATGTCTTAACACATGAGACAGGTCAAATGTTACTCAGCAGGAAAAAGGACTGAGGCAATACCTTTCCTGCCATGGTCTTGGAGGTTAGGCCACTGGGCTCTCTGACCGGGTGACAAACCCCAACAGGTTGGCAATATTCCAAGCCTTAGGAGAAAACCTGCTCTATAGCAGCTACTTAGTAAAACCTACCAGATTTAGTGCTCTCTTGATTGCTTCCTACGAGGACCAGTGCTCCTTCCTGCCCTTCAGTTCTCCCAAATATCAGAATACAACCTGGGACTCCAGCTTCATGAGCAGATGGTGCCAAACCAGGAAGGACTGCTAGTAGTGGTCATGCCCTGACCACAGTGTGGGGTGTAGGATGTGAAGAATTCTTTTCATCAATGCCAAAGAGGTGAATTTGGCTCAGAAGAGGATCAACAGTGATTTAAGTGACCTCGAACTCTAAACTTTGAGAAAAGCAGACATCTTAAAAAACATGGATGCTTTTGTGGTTATGACAGCTATTTTCTTTAAGAATAAGTTGGTTCCTGCAGGAGAAACATGAGACTTTGAATATAAATCTCAACAGTTTCCATAATTTTTTTCTGACTTAACGAGACTCAAGAGAGGTATTAAGTTTTCTAGGTATATGAAGCATTTCCATCTTTGGCTTGCCCTGAAAAAGGCTTCCTGGGAAACCTGGTCATAAGAAGACTCTTGAGAACTTAATTTCCAAGTATTGAGCCAAATACTAAACAAAATACCATCCTGCACAATTATCAGAAGTTTCTAAGATAAAAGACTGACTGCCAGTTCACACCCCCTGGAAGAAAAGGTCTCATTGCAGGCTTCAGGAGAAGTCCAAAAAAGGCTGCTAGGTCACCCTCTCCCAACCTGCATATGTGAGTCATTTTCCAGCAGTTGTGCTGACTGCTTCTAAGTGGATAGTGACTGCTTCCATGCTACCACTGGGTTCAATGGCTTGACTTTCTAGTTTCCATTTAACAACCTGAGTCAGTGGTTCTGGAGAGAAGCCCCGGCTGTCATTCCATTCAAAGAACTGTTGCTCAAAGCCAAGTACATAGCTCAGCAGTTTTTCTAGGCCAGTCTGGAACAAAGCCTCCAGAGAATGGTAGAGAATGGAAAGAACCAAACCAAAACCACAAAGTGGCCAATCACAGCCCCCTGATCCTCACTCCCTCCTGTCCTGTGAGACATTTCTAGATGGCTGTCAAAGTCAATCACCTATCACAGCCTACTACAGAGAAGCTAGTTCAGAATCAAAACTCTTTACATAGCCTGCATGCCCACCCCCCCAAAAAATTCACAGTTTATTTCATGAAACAAAGCTAATAAGGTAATTGAACACACAACATAGTGAAAGGAGATTCTGACAGTGCAGTGCAGATAATTTTTTTCTGATCACAACTACAGATGACAGGAGAGCAAAGGGCACAGGACTGGCACCAAGCAACCTACTCACAACCTAAGAGGTTAGGAAAGGGGGCTACTAGCTGCAGTTATATACTTATTATTCCACACATGATAAATACTTAATATAGTGAACTTTAATGTTTTGGGTGAATTTCTTTAAAAATATCTTTTTCATGGTTTATAATTCTTTTAAAAGAAAATAAGATGCTTTATATTTTTCTCTTCTCAAACAGCTTTTCCTTCTGTAATGATGTGGGAAGAGAAAAGGGTGAAACGGAAGAACTAGGCAGGTGGAAGTCACAGAAGAGATTCCACGGTCTCAGTAAAAATCCATGCAAGGGATGGCCTCTAAACTCAGGACAGCCTTGCCCAGCCTTGTCCCTCCGCCTGAGTTCAAGTATGTCAACCCCACAGATAGACTTTGGGAAATAAAAGCATTTCTATGTTTTAATCTTTATATAAAGCGCAAATGCTTCTATAAAAACTATCATTCCTTCCCCCTTGGAAAGGATGTAACAAGAAATCAGGAGGAAATTGGGACAAGATACAGAATCCCATTGAGAATGTAAAAGCTGTAACCATGACACACAACGGCCAGGAGACATTTGGGCCAGGAGATGGCCTATTGGCTAAAGCTGCTGACTAAATTGGCAAAGCAGGGGAGATTTGTTTGGTTTAGGGACAAAGGAAAGATGGGTGAGTGGGAAGGAACGAACCAAACAGCACTTCCTGTTGGCAGTTGAGCTGGGTGAATAGTAGGGCAGGGTAGCACCAAAAGATTTCCCAGCCCTTGGGCCCCAGCTCAGGGCAGCAGTAACAGATACTCAGCAGTTAACAAGGAATCATCTTGTAGACTGGACATTGCTCCAAACACTTTCTCTCTCCAGTCTTAGGGAAAGGATCTGGCTTTTGAGCTAAGTCAGCAGGCAAGTGCTCTCAATAAAAAGCACAGCAATTCTCAGGGAGATGATGAAGAGGATACCCTCAGTTCAATTAGAACAAAGGACGGGGCAGAATTTTCCATTAGAATCCAGCGCTGTTCCAGGAGCAAGTACATGTAGCTCACACCTGGCGAGAGA